ATTGACTAATAGTTTTAATAACTCGTAATGTGATGGGTTTTGTCTTCTGGAGTTTGCCAGGGTATCAACCCCCTCCTGAATTCGAATATGTTATCCACCCAATCAGGGCACTTTCGTTGTCGTGGTTTGACAAAACATATGGATTATTCTGACCAATCAGAGACTTGGTACCCAAGCAAATATCCTGTAGCATTTTATACCTCTTAGTCCTGTGATACCTCTAATATCGGATTGCGATCAAAGGTTCGCTATTGTGGGGGACTACTGTATTTAAATTACTCAAGCGTTGGCGTTCACAGTCAATACAATCAGGATGCTCAGTATTGTAGTACTCGTAACGAGAAGTGCGCCTTTGCCCATAACTATTGCAGTTTGAATCCAATCGAAAGCCTCACCCCTCACGCTACGCACGTTATCAAATCCTGAAGAGTGATCTATTTTGTATTGCAATTGCCAACTTACAAAAAAATATATGGGGAAAGGGCCTCCAATTCGAATTGCCCAATAAGAATATTTGAAAAATCTACATATTTACAGTTTTGCAATAACTCTCATTTGACCGCAAATTGGAGAATTTTACCTTACAATAACACTGTAAAATAAACGTATAAGTCGTGAATTCTGCTTTGCCAGTTGTATGCACTACTTTCATTTGATTTCAATATGAATTTGAAGTGTGAGGAAACATATGGACAATATTTTAAAACTATCTTATTGTATGCTTATGAATATACCGGTAATAAAAAACATGATTATGAAAATGAAGAAAGGCAAGAATTGACGAGGGAGGGGCAAGAATTAATCGTTAGCTGAAACATGGCGTACTGGCTCACTTGACCACCAAAGCTAAAATTCCCATTTAAGCTCCCGATAATATGGCGAGTACAAAGCATCAAACCCGTCGAACCTACCACACCGCGAGGGGTGAAACGACTGATTTCTGTAAAAAGTTGAGGTGTCATTGACAGTCAATACAGTAGAAGTCGGAGTATTTTCGGTGACTCTGGTGTGAAATTCAGTAACTGGGCAGGCAGCACGATGCTTGTTTATATTGAAATCGAATATCTTGGTTATAGTATCTAATTTAATGTCAACTACCCATCCTTTGGATCCATGGATGCTTTTTCGCACCACTTCAACAAAAACTCCAAGTCGTAGTGATTGTCCCACTTGGATATGAGAAATGCACTTGAAGCTCGGACCTATGAAAGCTGAACATTTTCTACAGTGTGAAGTCAATTGGCTGCTGGTTAAAGACTGTGTTCGACCTGCTGTCGACAGTGACTATTTGATCGACAAGCAATGGACTTGGTTAGTCGTCGCTGAGCTGTCCAACCTTGAGATCATCCACAACGGCCACAAATACAGCCCCGAACCCAAGCTGCTACCTGCAAACTAAAATCACCTCCAGTCAGTCCTAGGACGTATTCATATCCATGGTGATATACTTGGTTTTACTATGCATAAAGCGTCAGATTTTTCTATTGGGAGCATGACGTCATCCCTCCTCACTTCCTCGTCCCAGTGTCGGAAGATATGTCCACGCATGTAAACGTTCGGACGACATACAAATATCCAGTCGATGTCGTTATTTTTATTCCAACCCCACAACATAAAAACCCAACGGATTTGGACCTCCTCACATTTGAATTATCTCTGCCATGGCCACGCAAGCCAAAGCTATCGCGATCAAGTCGGTGCGCAACTTGCCGATTGACAGTGAATCGCTGCCGTTGAAGGGCGGAGAGGGCGCTGCCCACCACCAACCCAACGACCTTCGCGCGTTCTGGGACCTTGTCGCCGGGTCACCTGTGAGCTGGTTGTTGCTCGTGACCCCGTTCGCGATCTGGTCGTACCTGGCGCAATGGGGCGCCGTGTGGGTGTTCACGCTGAACTTCTTGGCGATGATGCCGCTGGCCAACATCCTCGGTGAAGCGACGGAGAACTTGGCCGAACACACCGGCGACACGATCGGCGGCCTCGTGAACGCGTCGTTCGGGAACGCCGTGGAAATCATCATCGCTATCTTCGCGTTGAAGGCCGGCGAAATCGAACTGGTGCAGTCGTCGTTGATCGGGTCCATGTTGTCCAACTTGCTCCTCGTGCTCGGCATGTGCTTCATCTCGGGCCACCTCGGCGGTGCCAAGGAATCGACCTTCTCCGGCGTCGGCGCGTCCATCAACATGTCGTTGTTGTTCGTCGCATCGTTTGCCATGTTGGTCCCTTCGTACTACGCGCAATCCGTGTCGCATGCCGACGAAGGCGACCACAGTATTGCCGTCTTGGGCCTCTCTCGCATGTCTGCTATCTTCCTCGTGTTGATGTACGTGCAGTTGATGTTCTTCCAGTTGGTGACCCACAAGCCGGCCGACATCGCGAACGACGGCCACGGCCCTGCATTGTCGTTGGTCGGCGCCACCGTGGTCCTGCTCCTGTCTACCGTGTCTGTCGCGTTCTTGTCCGAGTTCTTGGTGAGCTCGGTCGACGAATTGACGGAAACCTCCGGCATCCCCAAGGCGTTCATCGGTATCATCGTGCTCCCGATCGTCGGTAACGCCGTCGAGCACATCACTGCCCTCAAGGTCGCGTACAAGGACAACATGGAGCTCGCCATGGGTGTGGCCGTCGGCTCTGCGACTCAAATCTCGCTGTTCGTCGTGCCCGTGTGTGTGATCGCCGGCTGGATCATGGGCCAGCCCATGACGCTGGCGTTCAACACGTTCGAAGCGCTCACGTATGTGTTTACGACGTTGATCGTGTACGTGATCGTCGCGGACGGCAAGTCCAACTGGCTCGAAGGCTCCATGCTCCTCACGCTGTACATCCTCGTGGGGCTGTCGTTGCTGGAAATCACCATTTAAAAGTCCTACTACTCGTGTCTGTTCGATTTTTTGACGTTGGAGAGAATAGTACTTTTGGCCAATGAAACGTGTCCATTTTCATATTGGCCAATCATCGTGTCGCTCGACAGATTGGAGCGATCGCATTGGTCGACCTCTCTTGCCAGGAAGTGTTGCCACGTCATACGATCGGTACATGAAGCGAGGCTTCGATGAAGATGACCTACGACGAGGGTTGATGTGGAAACGTATATATCTATCTATCTACAGTATACGTATGTATGTTATGTGTGTATGTGTATGTACATTGACTGTGATGTCAACCAAGGCGTAACTTTAGCCACTGTGAAAGACACGAATATTACTATTTATTAACACATATAGTACACTATTGTACTATTGTAGTACTGTATTAAATAGTTATAATTCTCGTACTGTACTGTAATACTGTAGTAGTACTATTAATAGTAGTAGCATTTATTAATAGGAGGTCTATTGCAATTACAGTACTATTGATAGTACAAGTAATACTGTACTAAAAGTCTCACAGAGCAATACCCTCCACACACCCCTGCATTTCATCAATACAAGAGCGTTTAGTAGACAATATTAATAGTTGTCGTTACCCATGTAGTACTACTACTAGTACGTCACTATTTAGAAATCGTTAGTGACACTGGAACCGAACCGCGGTTCACTGGATCCTCGTCGCTGATTGGCCCGCTTGGATTCCTCGGTTGCAATCCTGGATGACGACATCGCTGACTTCGCGGCGCCCGCCGCTTCGGCCCCATCCAAGCATCCCTCCGTCTGCCTTGTACGCTCCTGGTGGTCATGGAGGTGCACCGTCGTCTTCGATGATGGAGCTCGAGTTGATTCGCACCATCTTGGGCGACGAAGTGCCCACGAGTGTCCTGCTGTCGTGCCTCCATGCCGCGTCAAACGACGTGTCCACGGCGGTCAACTTGTACTTTAGTCAGCAGCCGACCACGGACGTCCCCGTGGATCTCACCAAGAGCATTCGAAGCTCCATGCCCGTGACGTTGCATCCATTTGACGAACCTGGCATGCTCAGCAACTTGAACTTGGCAGCGACGTTGACCACGGGCGCCGTGGACGCGATCAACGCCGCGAACGAGCGGTTCAAGGTGCTTCGGTTCCGAAAGCGCGGCAACCCTCTAGGTACTTCCCATCTCACGATATCAACTCGTCCATGACGGGGTCGTATCGTGCAGGGGCGGCGGACATGCTGCTGCGGAACGGCGACATCGTGTCCCTCGAGTGCAACGGGTTGTGGCTGTGCGCCCGCAAGAACAACGCATTGCAGTGGAAACCTGTCCGACATCTACCTCTCCCATCTCGTCCATCTTATCGCATGAGATTCGGCTGCTGTCCTTGTAGGTATCCGACACGGACGACCGCAACAAATTTGTCATGCGCGGGCTCGCCTTGGGCACAGTCCTCACCGTCGGCGAGCCGTTCTTCTTGACATCATACCGGTGGAAAGAGCGCGAAATCGCCATCCGACGCACGCAGAGCATTGGACTTACCCTCAACCTCCCATGGAACAAGCCATCCTCGACCTCTGAACTCGCATCCCCCAATAGCAATAACACTCTCAACCACGTCCACCGATGCTTTCTCGGCCTCGCCCGGTCCACCGAGTGCGAACACAGTGTCATATTCAAGCATTCACATATATTTTGTACTACGAGTAGGGGCGACTGGCGGCTCTACTTTCGCGCGGCGCCGACGCCCAAAGCCGCCGCGTCCATGGCCACCGCCGCGGCCATGTCCGTTGCCCCCCTCAATATCCGCGTGGAAGCCCCCATAAAGCGCCGCGTATCCCGGCTCAGTCGAGTGGCCGAAGATGACGAAGGCACCAGCAGCCCTACGGACATGCGGCGGATCGAGCAAATGCAAATGGTGCTTGGATTGGCCACGTGTTCCAAGGAAACCCTCGTCGAGTACTTGGATGGTGCTGGTATGCTTTGGTCGTTGTATGATATTGTGAATTCTTGGCTATAAACGTTTAAAATTCGCGTGGTTTTCGTCGAATCCAAACATATTAAATCACGCTGGCGTTGTGATTGGTTGAATATATACTTGAAATCTCTGTAAGAACCAATCAAATTGGAGTAGCCAACAACGTCGATCGATGATTCGGCGGCGAGATTATTCGATTCGATCGACGGGGTCTGGACATATTTGTAGTACCGAATCCACAACTCTTTGGTTCATATATATTATATATTTTGTCTTTCTTTCAGCCAAAATATGTGGACTACTACTTTTGCGCTGATTTTTGCCAAATCCTTGGATCGATTATTTCTACTGCTGCATCTTGTATGGAAAACATGTGTATGATACCCATCACACTAATTCAAGTCACACCCTAATTCTTGTGTTTAGTGTTAGTTGGTCATACTATTTTGTGTCGCCCACACCAATTGTTCCTTGTAGAGTGGCGAGAAATCTGTTTTTGCCTTGTACGTTCTCGAGTTTCAAATCAAACATATATATATTCTCGAGCGAGAAATGAAATGTATATTTCTATACATGTATTTACATTCTGGAGAGTTGAATGAAGTATATATATGCATATACACACCTACTTCTCGAGTTTCGAATGAAATATGTATAGATATTTATACATTCTCAAATGTCATCCGAGTTTCGAACGATATATATATATATATATATATATATATTTATTTATACATTCTGGAGTTCAGATAGATATAGGTATGTATACATTGTCAAGTTTTAGAATTAACACAACAACAACGTTTTCAAGCGCTTGTTAATTACTAGTAATATATATATATAGTGCATGTTAATTTATTTATATATATATCCATTCCCGAATTTCGAAAGTAAAACCCTACAATACCATGTAGTAACATATGTAAACATATCTATCTATGTATCGTTGAATGGTTGTGTATCTGTATTACTATAAATATATATAAATAAATATATATATATACAAAATACGCATAGGAGGGAATGTACAAATTGCGTTGGAGCATTACTTTATGACGACTCACACGGATCGAAAGCGGTCGCGACCAGACAGCACGCTGCTACTGCCCATGCCTCGCCAGGTATAAAACGAGGAATTCCTTTATTCCTATGATCATATATATACATAGAGCATGCCGCCACCGCCGCCGCCGCCGCCATCGCTTCCGTCGCCAACATTGGCATCTTCGTTGCAACAACATATGACTGGTAGTACACATGTCTCCATTTCGAAGGGACTAAAGGAGCTGATATATGCAGGGGATGCAGCCGCCGCCGCCGTCGGTCGGTCGCCCCCCAAGGCGTCGGTGCAGATTCCACCGCGTACCAAACTCTAGTACTCACTTGTCCGTGGAAGTTGACAATATTGATGTGTTAGCACCGCCGACGTCGATGCTGCAAAAGCCGCTGACGATCGAGGATTTCGAGATGCTCAACGTACTGGGGCGAGGCAGCTTTGGCGCTGTGATGATGGTGCGGTACAAGCAAGATGGACGCATCTTTGCGATCAAGATCCTCAAGAAGAGCGCCATGGACGCGACAGACATGCAGAACGCCATGGAGGAACGCCAGATCCTGCAACGCGTCAAGCACCCGTACGTGTCGTCGCTCGTGTTTGCGTTTCAGACCAGCGAGCGACTCTACCTTGGTAAGTGTCCTTGCTTCGTATCCTTATCCTTATCCTCGTCGCCGCGATATCTAGGCATGAAGTTTTATGCCGCCGGCGACCTCTTCTACCACCTCAACCAAAAAGGTATCTTTGTTTTGTGGCAAGGTGTAACTGTCGATCATTTGATTGGCTGCAATTTTTCGAATTCTGTAACCGTCACTCGTTTGATTGGCTGCAATCGTTCGAATTCTGTAACTGTCGATCATTCGATTGGCTGAAATCATTTTATTTTATCCAATCCCAGGTGGCGGATTGCCGTTGGCCGACGCCCGTCTCTACGCCGCCGAGCTCGTGCTCGCGATATCGTACTTGCATTCGCTCAACATTTTGTACAGGGATTTAAAGGTGCGTTGTCTTTTGATTGGCTGATATTCCATTCCGTTCGTTCGTTTGATTGGTGGAAAAAAAAACCCTCGTTTGAAATCTACCTACATAATTGGTATTTTGTCGCGATGGGTTGCGATGCCGTAGCATATCCTGTACACAACTTATGTATAGTTTGTGTTGTAAATATTTTTTCGTAACTAAAGGATATTTTGCTTTAGTTTAAAAATACATATTGTCGATTTGATATACAAATTTTTGGGGACGGGGGTGCAATCGAATCGCGCCGACCAAACCGATCCCCAATCGATCTGATTGGTTGAATTTCATTGAGAAATGGGTTTTGATTGGTTAATAATTTTGAGGTTATCTGAAGTAGCCAATCAAATCGATTTAAATTCCAACGAGAAACCACAACACGAAATTTCACTCGAAAGTACAATACATCAATCCATATTGTCCTTTGAGGACTTTCGTGTGCTGAGTCACCAAATCCACCGAAAATCGATTGTTTGGATTCACACTAATTGAAGTTCATACACGAATTCGACGTTGTACGGTTGAAGGAAGAATAGAATTTGTGATTGGCTACTTGATATTCGTGTTGTGGGTTTTGATTGGTCGTATATCTCTGCACCCGATTTGGTGCAACGTGATTTGATTGGCTCAGGCGGTTTTTGCATTCATGATTCTCGAACGACCATTGATTCTGCTCGTGGCTCCAGTGTAGAATAATACTCGCAACAACGATATATATATATAAATATATTGTCTCCTTTTACCCAAAATTTATGTGCTGGCTCGCCAAATGTATCGATTCTTGGTACTAAATTTTGTATGTAAACAGCTGTCCTGTGGCGATATATGTAATACCACTAATTGAAATCACACACTAATTTGACGTTGATCATGGTTGTTTCCTGCAATCGGATTGGCTAAATACTTCTACCGATGATTCTTCTTTTGTACATTTGGTTGTGTTCGATTATGCATTCTCCATGTCGCTCCAGTTTAGAATAAACACAGCAATATATATAAATATATCGACTAAACACAACGATATATATATATATCTCGTTGTATCGAGGGCTGAGTTGTCCAAATGTGTATGTATGTAGCCGTCCAACATAATGATCGACGAACAAGGCCATATTGGTATTGTGGATTTTGGGCTATCCAAGCAGCATATCCAAGGCACTTCTCACGGCGTTAAGACCCTGTCGGGTACGGCCGAGTACGTCGCCCCTGAAGCTCTCGTCCAGACTGCCGACGGTACCCGCGACTATGGCAAAGCCTACGATTGGTGGAGCTTTGGCATTGTCCTGGTAGATATATATATATATATATACATGGAGGATGATATATATATATACATTGGAGGATGATATATATATATACATTGGAGGATGATATACGGCGCTCTTATATACTAGTATTTCGGATCTTTATGTGCGGATTCATTCACGAAAATCGATCGGTTGTTCTTTTTTTTTTTTAACTTTTGTTGTAGATAGCGCTTGTGAAACCCTTTTTTGTATTTTCACGTACATGGAAGGTTCGATGGTTGCAGGCATTTGATTGGCCACTTGATTCGGGTGTTGGGTTTTGATTGGTCGATCGATTGGTCTGTCGATTTGATGCTACTCATTCAATCGAGCACCCCACTCTAATTTCGAATCGAATGGACAATATATATATATATATATATATATACACTATAAGACTGTATCCGGATGCCCATCACACTAATTCTAGTCCTACACCTTGATGGGGAGTTTGTTTCTATAATATAGCGTTGTCCCATTGTGCGCCATGAATAATTAATTCTAGTTTTCAGTGGCCACCATTGGGGATTGTCCTTAAATAGTGTTGCACGCGTATCACACTAATTGATGTTCTACTACACCCGTTCATATTTTTCGACACACAATACATATATATTATATATTGGTTCTACCAGGGTTTCTGCGATACAGTGCTGGATATCTCATGGACTTGTATGTAGTACGAGATGATTGTGGGGGTGAGCCCGTTCTATCATGACAATGAGCGCACGATGCTGCAGCGCATCGTCCATGCCGACGTCCGATTTCCCGCCGATTTTCCCAAAGACGCGAAGTCCCTTGTGCGCGGTCGGTATACAGTGCTCTGATGTTGTCCATTTATAATGTATCAAAAAATATGTGGCCATTTATTGCCGTTTTCGCTGAAATATGGACTTGTCAGGTGATTCAAATGAGTCGATTCGTCTATGATGATGATTTTTAGCGTCCTCAATGTATGGTATACATATTTAAAGATGTACGTTTTGGCTGGTAACTATATACTGATCGATGATTGGTTCGATTTTCTCAATCGTGGATATGGGATTGCGGAGTGGTTGAACTGATGCAACGTACCTGATTGGCTAAATACTCGCGCTTGAATTTGGCCTACACACAATATAGTATACATACAGTATCACGAGTCGTAGTTGTGAAAATGAGCGTTGTCCAAATCTATCGCAAAAAAGTGATGGAATTGCATTATCTCGTCAAGAATCGTCCATCACACTATTTTACACGCCCACACACTAATAATCTACTAGCTGATTGGGTACCGTTTGCGATTTGTGCACCAATTTTTTATTATATTTTTTGGGGTACACTGTGGAGTGATGCTAATTAATCTCTCTGGTAAAATTTGGACTTTTTTGCGGATTTGCCAAATATCCATTCGATCATCGATTTTTTTTGTACTGACCTTTGTACGTATTTATGTCACACAATCATCAGTTGTTGATAGGTTGAACAGATGATTTCCTGCAATCTGATTGGCTCAATTCTTCTGCACCTTTGGCTGTGTCGATGATATATCCATTCTCCAGTTTTGAAAATAAACACAATACATACAAGCTATCATCATCATATCGAGCTCTTTTTAGTATATATATATATATATTGATTGATCGATATTTAGGACTACTTAACCGAGACCCGAAAGCGCGCTTATCTGGTGACGCTATCCAGTCACATCCGTTCTTTGCGTCGATCCAGTGGACCAAATTGTATCAGCGCCAAGTGCCGGCGTATTGGACGCCCGATTTGGTACGTGACTTGGGACATTTGACATGTGTGAATAAGTGAATGAATATAGTCGAGTGAGACAGATACAAAGTACGTGGACCCAGTGTTCACCAAGGATGGTCCACCGTCGGCGGTGTATGACGTGGCAGCGTCCCATGGCAAGAAGGACTGGAGCAAACGGTTCAGCCAGTTTTCATTTGACTTTCACCGCGACGACAATAGTAGTAAAAAATAGTAAAAAAACGTTCATCTTCAACTTTGTATACGATACATGGAATAAGCTTCAAATCGATCCTCGAATCGATCGTCGAATAATCAGCTGCCAAATCTAATTTATATCCGAGAAAAAGAAGGGAATACATATTGTATTATTCTAAACTGGAGCGACTTGGAGAATGAATCGACACAATTAAATGTACAGAAGAATCGACAGAAGGATATTTAGCCAATCACGTTGCAGGAAACCGTCATCAATGTCAAATTAGTGTATGATTTCAATTAGTGTGATACCCATCACCACAGGACACCTTTTTACATACAAAATTCAGTACAAAGAATCGATCGATAGATTTGGCGAGTCAGCACAAAAGTCAACCAAATTTTGGCTAAAAGGAGGACAATATCACATCGATACGATTGCTGCCACAAACTGGAGCGGTGTGGAATCCCATCATCAGGTCCAATACAACATACCTAGTAGTAATACTATTAGTACAATGCAACACCCTGAAGGCCCTGTCATTGTACTAATAGTATTACTAGGTATTTTTTGGCCAAACCCCCTTGTCACCACGTTTATTCTCCGTCGATTGTTTGTCCTGAATTTTGTATATATCGTACATGGCCAGTTTAAGCTGCACTCAAATTGGCCAATGGAATTGCTTGAATCCAGGAATAGCCAATCGAATCGCTAGAATTGCGAAAACACCACAAAAGAAGCAAAACTCCACATACGTATTTTAAGCTTAAACCATACATAACCTCCTATGTTGCCTCGATTTAGTGGAAATCGACGTCCACCCATGGTTTAATTCAGTACATTTTTTGGGATATCTCAGCAACCAATGGGAGTTGCTGTTTGAATATGCTGAGCCAATTAAAATGCTGGAAACGTAGTTATTTCTACCAATGAGCGAACGCAATTGTGCAAGGACTTTCCATACAACTACAGTATCCACACTAATTCTCTGATTTGCTACAGAATATGACTTGTGCCTTTGGTTGTTTGAACTGTAAATACACCAATATCACCTATTAATAGTACTAACTACTATTTATGTGGGTTGGGTTGAATTATAATTTAGAGCGCTACCTTGTCAATGTGTAGCTAGCTAGCTAACTGGCTCATCCTCCGTTTCGTCACCATCCACGTCGCCATCGTCACCATCCACGTCGTCATCGTCACCATCCACGGGACTGTCATCTTCGTGATCTTCCATGGCGTCGTCGTCACCTTCCACGTCGTCACCATCGACGTCGCCATCGTCACCTTCCATGTCGCCATCGTCACCTTCCACGTCGTCATCGTCACCATCGACGTCGTCATCGTCACCATCGACTTCGTCATCGTCACCATTCACGGGACTGTCATCTTCGTGATCTGCTATGGCGTCGTCGTCGCCGTGCATGTCCACGTCCGAAATCGTTTCGTCGTCACTCGACCTACTAGTACTACTACTAGTACTACTACTAGCACAGCACACACCAGTCCTTGCCGTGTCGTCGTCGGTGTTGGCGTCGCTGCTGCCATAGTACAATGGCCCCCAGCCACCATTGTCACCAGCATTGCGACCAGCATTGTCACCAGCATTGTCACCAGCATTGTCATCGCTTTCGTCGTCATCGCTTTCGTCGTCATCGTCGGACGGGTTGATTTCGTCTTCATCTGCTTGATCCATGTCGACAATGAGCTGTTCTGGCTTGGACACATCGTAGCGCTTCTTGAATCCGTGTAACCACCCGTACGTGGCTTTGAATGTCGGCGGTCGGCCATATGCTGGTGCGATTTGCCTCGCGAATTCCACGATGCCCTTGGCCTTGCAGCCAGGAGTGGCGTCGATCCATCGAAGCACTTCTTCGTCGAACGGGACGATGGACGAAAAGCCGCTCCGGCGCTTGTCGCGGAGGTCCTTTCGACCGAGCTTGTATCGCCGAAGTACTTTGTCCTTGTCTCGGCGAAGGTTGTGGATCGCCATGCTCGTCACGCCGTACATCATGGCGACAGTGTACGACGACAACTTTCTCAGCGCCTTCTTCGTCAGGATGTCCACTTTGATGTCGTCCGACAACTTGGTCGCCACGAATCGCGCGGTCCGACGCGGGGGTAACGAATTCACGCCGTACTTCTCCTTTACTACGACAGGCACATCACACGACGATTTCAATGTCACGTGGGCTAACACACATACACGGGATGATCTTGCGCAGCTTGGCGACGTAATACTCGAGCACGCCGTACGCCGCCGCAACTTCCAGGTCCGTGAAGCCCACGCCAGTCTCCATGAAGGCGATGATGTCTAACTGAATCCTTTCCGGGATGCGGTTCGGGTTCTTGTTCTTCTTCTGCGCCGGCGGCGGCGCCAACGCTGGTGGTGGTGCCTTCGCCATAGTTCAATACATTCGAAATCAAGATGACCCAATGGGATGGTCGGGCTATTTCCCTTGCTTTAACGACATAGTATCAGTCCTAAAGGACTATTTACTAATTACTATACTACTCTACAGACTGTAGTGCTCCGGAGTACTGGTACTATTAATAGTGATGTTTCCCTCTCTTTAAGGACATACTGCCAGTAGGAGTACTACCGGTAACGTTAGTCCTACTACTAACTGTAAGTATAAATACTAACTAGTATAAATAGAATGCAATTTATCGATTGGTTTTTGTAATTTATCGATTGGTTTTTTGCAGTTTTAGGGGAAAAGAAAGCACAACCAACAAGCCCTTGGTTTTGGTGGGTGGTGATACTAGAGTCTGGCTTGACTTGTATGGAATGGGATGTTGATTGTTGTGGCAATATGTATTTTTGATCGGATGACAATTGTGCCCGACGAGGGATTTGGCATTAGATTTGGCCGTCGTGCCACTACTGTACTGTATATTGTCCACTCAACATATTGACAAACTTGCCATAATGGTCAGAATGTACGGACAGCCATTGTACACTTTGGTTTCATCTTGGTGGATTTATCCATGGGATTGGGAGTCAAGTTTGCGATCCTGCGTCAGATCCTCCCACTGTCCAAGTCACAGATTTGTTGTTGTTCGGTACTACAGTACACGTAGACACACATTCCCAGTGTATAACGTTACTTTGGACTTGTCAACTTGCAAGCAGCATGCCCGAGGAGCCTCCCCATCTACCAACCCAAATACCTCCACGTTGTTATTTCAACGAATGTATCGCGCCCGCGGTGGACGGCACCACAAAGTGCCACTTCCACCGCCACCGGGGCTCTTGCGCAGTTGATAATTGCCATAATCAAGTGTACGCGCGACAGCTCTGTGTCAAACACGGAGGCAAGCGCCGCTGTGCCATGCCGACTTGCACAGCCAACTCCCGCGTGGGCAACCTATGCTCCCGCCACACGACAGTTGAACTCAAAAAGACATGCTCCGAGCCAGGATGCACCAAACAGCCGCGCGCGCTGGGGCGATGTGTGAGCCACGGAGGCGGCAAAAAGTGTCTGGCCCCGTATTGTACTGCGAATGTACGACTGACCAGCTACTGCTCGCGCCATGCTCAACCCGTGTCATTGCCAGTTGGTGCTCGTCAGCAACTTGCACAGCCACGGGGCTCATCTTGGCAAATGCCACAACAACCACAAACCCCGCCGCTGAATGCACCGAAAATGGAGTATTCGATCGACCCGACCACCTGGATTACATTCGACGGATCAAAGGAAGTTATGAACGCCGTCGTGCATTGGGAACTCGACTGCCTCGAGTCGTTGCGCGTGTTTGACGTCATAGAAATGTAATTGACGAATTCGTGTGCATATTATTTACAGCCAGGTGCCGGTCGAACGTCGTACGCGTGTAGAAGGGAATGGGATAAACATATTCTTTACCAATTGATACTAATATTGTGCTTTTCATGTAATTTACCGTTGTTTATCTGCGTTAAACAACCAACCAGACGTTTAAAATAATATGATTGAAGGTAAAACAACGCTAAACCCAAGTTCTGCATTCAGCAGAATAAAACAACCCTTACTTTATTGTCAGCCGTTAATCGAGTTGCAGCACCAGGCCAACTTACGCAGTGCAACCACGATGCATACATCATTAGGTTGTGAAATCAGAGTACTATACATCGTGTAGTCGTAGTGCACTCTTGCTTTCCATGTATACAGTACTAACGTTAGTACAGATCAAAGTGTTGTAACCATAGCATAGCTTTGAATCATTGGACAGAGCGACGACTAGCCTAACTATATTCCTAACGTTATAAACTACTCGGAGTAGTTAATGTTTGTAGTGATCACGGATGGGAGGTCATGTAAGGTAATGCATCAATTGTTGGCACCAAATTGTGAGACTGTTGGACTTTTAGCCAATAAAATCTCAATAATTCAAGTTGGCCTTGTCTGATTGGATATGATAATATTCGCATCAAAATTTTATTACACGCCTCAATCATGGACTTCGTCAATCTTTTTTCCCTCTAAAACAATAAAATTACTGACATTTTTTTTGAGTTTCGCGGCATTTCCAGTGATGCATGTCAACCAAAAGACCTTGGAAGCGGTCGAGCGTGTTCAAGCAGGCGAGAGCATCGCCACCGTTTCCCGGAGCTCCGATATATCACGCAGCACCCTTTTTCGAGCCCTCAAAAAGGTCAAAGAGGGAAGTGCGCCAACCACCCAAAAACGTGGCCCGAAAACAACGCTGCCCGCGCACGTTGAACAGGACATAGTCACGTGGATTGGAGCGAGACAGCAATCAGGGTGGTCCGTTGACCGCAGCAATATCATGGCGGCAGCGTCGCAGATCTTGTCGGTCGAGCATCAGGCACCACAACTACTTGGACGTGGATGGTACAAGCGTTTCAGCGAACGTCATCGAATTTTGAATGACAGACTTGCTCAGAACTTGTCTAAAGGGTGCAACTCAGTCACACGCGAGGGAACGCTGAAGTATTTCTATGAACTACTTCATGCTTGCTTGCAGTTTAAGTGTACTGCCAGTGACATTTTCAATGTTGACGAAACGAGTTTCAAGACAAAGACAAAAAGCAAGAAAGTTGTGGCTATTCGAGGCTCCAGAAGTGTGCACTTGACGGACCAAAGTGACTCTTACCACTTGTCCATCGTTGTCGCCGCGGCAGCCGACGGCACGCCTGTACCCCCCGCGTTTATCCTGCCCGGCCAAAGCTGTGACACCACTATCCTCGACGACTGCCCTGTTAAAGGCGCTATGGTGACAATTGATGCATTACCTTACATACAGTATATGGTCATAGCTGCTTCAATGTCATTGCGGCAAGCACCTTGACGTGTTGACGTAAAAGAAGTTGTTTGCCAGGATGAAAACGGCAAGCCACTTGTTTTACGCAAGTGCCTGTAAAACTACGTTCAATCAACCAATCATCGCATTAGATGAAGTAATGTTAAACAACGCACCCAACCGTTATTCAAATTACTTTAGACATTATTTAAGCCTGAGAAATTTTAAACAATGAATTTAACCCTGGAATTGCCAAAAAAGGTGCAAAGCACAATACTTCTATTATTAAGTACTAATTACGTAAAGTACAGCAAGAGATATTTTACAAATTAAATTAAAAAATATACATTAATGTCACACAACGAGGACACGCGCCGGTGTTCTACCGTACAGCGATGTAGGTATGGTGCCACATCGTAGAAAACCACGCCATCTTCTTGTTCCATCGCATAGGACATGCAGGTAGCGTGTACTACGCGATGGAATTAATAGCCAAGGTGTTTTGGTCACTTCAGCATCACATGTGATTATTATTGCTCAGAGTTATTTGACCCCAGTGAATTAGCTAAAACACCAGGTATTTATTCAACTTTGTAACACAGTTACAGCAGAAGTACCACTCTTTTAGCCATGTAAAACCGAAGTGCAAAGCACAATTCGAAGTACAAAACACAAAAGGCAAAAGTCTACCGTATACCCCTCGCTTCAGTACCTATGATTTCTCCGGTCGTGTACCTAGTAACAAATATCTGTAAAATACTTTATCCAATGAAATATAAGGGCTGTGATGGATTTACTGTTAGACCAATGTGCAATCCTGAATAGTTTTCAATGTATTTTACGGCATGGGGCTGTACCGGTTTTGATTAGATTTCACTGACATTTTCATAACATAGATACTGAAGCGGGGGGATTCTCGCCATAACTACAGGTAATTGCGTGGTACTACTACAATACTGTAGGTGTTGACGTCGTCTTCAACCGTATCTACAATGTACAGTACATCAACCAACCCTGTTGGATGCCTTTACGACTTGCATCTAATGCACTGTTCAGTAGACCTCTAACCCAGAGACTGAATGACTGGCGAAAGAGAAAGCAGTTAATCATCCCTACAGCATTCATGTAGTATGTGAACGATTGGATGAAGTCCTCACTTTTCAATAAAAAGGATTGACGTTATCGGAATATTGTGAATCATTTCCAATTGAGTCGAAACGATTTCCAATGGTCAAAAAGGAATCATATTCTATTTCTACCATATTCAGCATTGCTGTTCGAACCCAAATCAGAATCTCTGCCACCCACAGCACTTCCAGCAACGAGAGAGCTCTCAGCAGCTAACATAAGAGTCAGTCTCGCCTTGCGTTTCGTCCTGTAGGTACGAACAAACGTCTTTTTGCCCTTGTCCTTCTTTGAACGAATTGAGGACATGCGATTGATGTACTGAGAATACACTTCCCCGTCGTCGGCACGCAGCGGATGCAAGCAGATATGTACGTTTGTGAGCGCCATGCACGTTTAAAACAACACGTCGTAGTTGTCACGCGACCATCGATAGGTCTCACCGCACACAGCCCACAACGTCTTCATCCGGCGAAAACGTTCTCCACGATCACACGATCGCTTGCAATGCGATCGTTCGAGCGGACGTCCTCAAGCGTGAGGATACCACCTGCTGGTTTCTTCTTCGGCAACACAACACGTACGACCCGTTGGATTCCTTGATACCCCTTGTCCGCTATGACGGCCCACTGGTTCGTGCCTTCATCCCCGTGGACGGCAATGCGGTCCTCAGTGGCTTGCTTGGATAGGGCAGACATGTCGGTTGCGTAGCGAACGAACGGGAAGTTAGCGAATTGGTGACCACTGGTTGTGAGCAACGCCATTGAATACTTTTCGACGACGGTAGTCACGTACTTGCGGAGGAGAAAGGGGTGCAGGGTTTTAGCAAAGCTCATCGTTCTCTTTTGGAACGTTGGACTGTGTTGTTTGAATGTGACAGCAACGATATCCCAAGAACCGCAGTGTTTGATTGACGGCAGGAGCATCAGTAGCAGATCGCGTGCAGACACCTCAGACTTGCGTCCTGAGCTGACGTTCCAGTGCTTGGTGACGTAGGTGCGGACGTCGGCCCAGAGTACGTTGAACTCCGACGGACTGAAGTTGGTCATAGTGTGAATGCCGTTTGCTCCTTGGGTCTCAAGGAAAACGTCATAGATTGGGCTTGCAGAGTCAGGGTCTTGATCAGGTTCCTCTGGACGGACCGTGGGGTAGCGTGCACGTTTAGCCTGGCGTTGCTGCTCGAGGTTATCAAGCTAAGCGACTGCTTGGCTGATGCCGCGTGACGTGAGGTGGGTGGGCTGTGGGCCTTGAATGCTAGCTCTACGAGCCATTGAGATGTTTTATGGAAGATTGTGTGTGATGTGTTGGTTTCAATTGCATGGTTGGCTGTAAACCATACCGACTGACAACCAACGGAACTGAAGTCTCGTCGTATGTATTTTTCGTAGTTTGATTATTGTTTTATGAGATATATTATTAGTATTCTCGGAATACAGTGAGTGATTTCCAAAAACATGTTGTGGCTGAGATATGATTCACATCTAACCAGAAGATCCCGATATTAATCTAGTAGTTGACCTATCAAAAATGACGAAGCTGAATTCTATAACTTGAATGTCTAACCAGTCATGAAAATCCCTTCAAGAACAAATAATTGTTCTTGTTAGCTGTTCAGTCACTTGTTGAAGTTCAGTCTATGATCTGGAGGTCTAGTGTAATTTTCGTTTAATCCGTAACGTTATAAGCAGTGCTTGCTCCTCGTTTCAACGGGAACGCAAGGACTGACAGTGAGCGAATACAGTATAGTTGACTGGGGTGTGTGTAGCAATGTGATAGAACAAGCCGCGTATGTTTGATTTTCTACTTGGTCATGTGCAGTTCGGAGTTACGATAATAGTAAAGCAAATGAAACACACGATAGCCTCATCCACTCACTGCACATACAGTATGGAAAAATGGAATTGTCAAGGTGGCGACGTTGTGCGTATAACGTTACTTTAGTTGACATGTCAGTTGCGAAGAGAAAAAACCTGTAAATACTTATTCAGTCAATATATTATTTTCTGCAATACTTCGTTCGTAAACAATACCCATGAAACTTTATAAATCTTGCATTGATTTGCAGAAAGGCGGCAAGTTGCAACAATAATGGCGCCAACTGAACTCGATGGCCGACGCACTGGGCGTCCTAGTACCAAGCAAATCAAGCGAATGCCCAAGAAGCACAAAAACCTCTACCATACCTACGAGAAAAAGCTTCATATATTCAACTGGCGCAAAGAACATTCCATGGAGTCCGCCATCGACACGTTCTTCCCCGGTGTTGCGGGGGACAAGCGCACAACAGTCTGGAAGCAGATCCTGCGCTGGGAATCACAACGGGACCACATCACTATGGCTTGTTCCAAGGCTCGAACGCGGGACATGCGTACACTACGCAAGCAAGGCATATCTACAACGCTCACCCGTGTTGCAGAGGAAAACATTGCTCAATGGGTATCTGAACTTCGTGAAGATGGCATACCTGTATCGAAGACTCTCCTCGCGTGCAAGGCAATGGATGTGGCGTTGGAACAAGGCTTAGTAGTGAACCAGTTCAAGGCAAGTCCATCGTGGATGAAAGGGTTCATGAAGAGGTGGGGACTTGCGATCCGAGCGAAGACTCGCTCTGGCCAAGCGAACCTTGCTGATGGAGAGAAAGTTCTTGCCGAGTTTAAGACGTCTATTCGGAAGGTCATCAAGGATAATCGCATCGTCGAAGTATTCAATGCAGATCAAACAGGAATCAACTACGACTACCTTCCAAAGCAAACGATGGACAAAAAAGGTGCCAAGACTGTGTGGATCAAGGCGTCTGGCCACGACAAGGATCGCGTGACTGCTATGCTTCTGGCCGATTCCAAGGGAACGAAGTATCCTCCGTTTTTGGTCCTGAAGAGTAAAGCATCAACAATCAAGGCAGTTGTTCAAGAAAACCTTACCCAACGTCACGGTTTTGGGCGTCAAGTTTGGAAGGAAATCGAAGAACTCGAAGCCAACTTCCCCCTCCAAATCTACGGGAACCCTTCGGCCTGGTGGAATGACGGTATTTCTTTGCGCTTCCTTGACTTCCACTTTGGACACCGACGCGGCCAAGCCGTGGACCCAGTCTTGCTCCTATGGGATGACTTTAGTGCTCACTTCACTGATGAAGTTGTCGAACGAGCGAAGGATCTACAAGTGTACCTCTACCGTGTGCCGCCAACTTTCACATGGATATGCCAGCCTGCCGATGTTGCTTGGATGAAGCCTATCAAAGCATCAATGCGACGTAAATGGGTTGACTACCTACGACGATCAATTGAGCTTAACCGCCGAGGCGGAGGCAGGGCGTTTCGACTGAAGTGTCCTGAGCTGGGGATATCGTCGAGTGGATCTCTGATGTCTGGGACGAACTGCCTACGACAACAATTGTGAAAGGATTCGAAAAGTGTCAAATTATTGACCCAGGTACCGCTCTTGTAGACCATACACAACAGGATCCCGAAGACTCTAGTGGCGATGACGTCTTGCAGGATCTCTGCGACACTGGTTTTTTCGGGGCTTTGGATCCAGAAGACGACGTTTCCCTTACGTTGGCGGAGTGCATTGACTGAAGTAGTTAGGTCTACGAAATGTAGCTGAGAAATTGAATACT